CCCAGAATATCAACAGCATTTTACAAAAGATCATGCAACAGCATCTAAAAAAAAAATGTATTTCAAATGTTTCATTTATTCCCCTTATTGCACAAAAATGCCAATATGTTATCTCCTAGGTTACTGAAAAAGATGTTCTCTTTAGTCTCCAATGAATTGGTGCATTTGGTGGTGTGCATATTTCAGGGGAAAAAAAGATACTCAGTAGTACACACACAAGAGAACCTGTCATGAGGAACACACACCGTGGCCATGAACTCTGCAGGCCTGCATAGTAACAACATGAGCTCCTGCGGGGTCCTGGCTGGACAGGCTGCATGTCTCTGCGTGTAAGTATGCATATGTGTACAGATGTTCTGTGTGAGCAACTGTGTACTGCGTATACATGTAGATATATAAGTATGTATGAAAATATGTGTGTTATGAATATTCCGGTTTTCCTTCTATTATTGATTTCTAGTTTTATAGCGTGCTCAGAAAAAAATCTTTTCTTTATTGATTTGAGAGAGAGAGAGAGGAAGGAGAGAGGGAGAGACAGAAACATCAATGAGAGCCACCTCCTACATGCCCCCCACTGGGGATCGCGCCCACAACCTGGGCATGTGCCCTGACCAGGAATCGAACTGGCGACTCCTTGGTGCATGGGTTGACGCTCAACCACTGAGCCATGCCGGCCAGGCCATTTCCTTAATTTTTCTAAAACTTGTTTTGTTATCTTCCATATGACCTACCCTGGAGAATGCTAGATTTGTGCTTAAGAATGTATAGTCTGCTGTTGTTGGAAGGAAGGTCATGTATATGTCTATTAGGTCCATTTGGTTACGTATATGTTTGTTAGGTCCATTTGAACTTAATTCAAGTCCAATATTTCCCTATGGATTTTCTGCCTGGATGATCTCTTCACTGTTGAAAGTGGGGTACTCAAGTTCTCCGCATGATTGTATTGATGTCAATTTCTCCATTCAGTTCTGTTAGTATTTGCTCAATATATTTAGGTGCTCCATTGTCGGGTGCATGTATATTTCCAGTTGTTATATCCTCTTGATGAATTGACCCTTTTATCTATATAATGACCTTCTTTGTCTTTTGTGACAGTTGTTGACTTAAAGTCTCTTTTGTCTGATATAAGTAGAGCTACACTTTCTCTCTTCCATTTACAAGGAATATCATTTTCTTTTATTTTTTATATATATTTGTTGGTTAATCCTCACACAAGAATATTTTTCCATTGATTTTTAGAGAGACTGGAATGGAGGGAGGGAAGGAGTGAGAGAGAGAGAAACATCGATGTGAGAGAGACACATCTATTGGTTGCCTCCCACACAACCCCAACCAGGGCCAAGGCTCGAACCTGCACCCAGGTACATGCTCTTGATTGGGAATCGAACCTGAGACCCTACAGTCTACAGGCCGATGCTCTAACCACTGAGCACAAAACCTGCCAGGGCAGGATATCATTTTCTATCCCTTCACTTTCTTCCTCCCAACATCAATCTGCAAATAATCAGTGTGACTGGTTTTTAAATTTCTATTAGTCATTAGATCATATTGCCTACATAATACTATCTTAAATCAATTTCAATCAAGTTTTCCACCAATTGTTGAATCAAAGTGAATACAGTGCTACTCTTGTGTCTTCTTTTAATTTCCTAATCAGAATTTTTCTATTTGAATAAAAATGGAAATCTACAATTTGATTTAATATACATAAATCAGAGTAAAATATAGATGTTCCAATATTACCATTACTTATTGTACAACATAAAAGTATTCAGAGATCAAAGATAAGGTCCCTGAGTGATGGTCTTCATTAAGGGAGGTTAGGCATTTGAAAGAAAATCTGATAACTAATAGCCTATAAGGCACAATTTTTTTAAAGCTGGCTAAGTCCAGTCCCTCAGAACAGCATGTTAAATTCCCTTTCAATTAGTATGGCTCAGCATTTTAGTCTTATGATTTGTATGCTTGGTAATACTTTCAAAATTAACCGTGCCACAGATAGACAGATCACACACTTCTCAGCCATAATAATTTTTCTAATGATGTATCTTCCTAACAGTAATTGCCTTTTTAGTGAAAGAACACGCATTTTGAATCTAGGGACACTTCATTTATTACTTTTCTTATATGAGAGCTACCTCGGCGTGTTCGATCTCTTTTTTCTTAATGACTTTTTTCTATTAGGAGAACATGAAGACTCCAGGGCACAGGAATTTCATTAGGAAGGGAGGCTTCTTAAAGGAGGCAGGAATTTCTAAGGTGGACATAAGACAGGTCTAGCCAAGAACAGACCACACCGGAGAGGCTCCATTTCCCCTGAACTACCTTTTCACATACCTTTAGAAATAAGACTTGTCATTAATACAGTGAGTTCAACTGCCAACATAGCAAAACATGCATGAAGTATGTCTCTGGTCACTGCACTTCCTACTTTTGGGGAGTCACCTTGTACCGCCTCCCTGGTCCGCTTCAGCCAACCAGAACACCTGCTCAAACCAGGGGGACCAGGAGACAGAGGACCTCTTGCTCTGACGGCTACTCCATCTTTTCCACACCATAAGCATCAGTGCTGGGGCCAAAGGAGTCCCTCCAGGCCCTGGGGGTCAAGGAGACAGGAAGGATTTCTAAGAAGCTACTCCATGGTCCTGACCGGTTTGGCTCAGCGGTTAGAGTGTCGCCCTGTGGTCCAGAGAGACCAGGGTTCGGTTCCCACTAAGGGCACGTACCTCGGTTGCAGTTTGTCCCCAGCCCTGGTTGGTCATGCAGGTGGCGGCCACTCGATGTGTCCCTTTCACGTCGATGTTTCTCTCTCTCTCTCTTCTTCTCTCTCCCTCCCACTCTACCTGAACAAAAAAATGGAAAAATGTCCTCGGGTGAAGATGAAAAAAAAAGAAGCTACTCCATGGACAGGCTGGGCTGTGGGGGCAGGATCCAGATCTGATGCTGGTGGGGCTTGAACACAGGCTGGAGAGAAGACTCAAGAAGCAGCTGGTGTCTCAACCATGGGCATCTCCCCAGAATGTCTACAGTTGGACTGACTCTTGGACCCTTGGACCTTGTACTTGGATTTGGTTGGGCCACAAGGATTCCTTTCTGTAATCCACCTGCCCACACATCGATGAGACAGAACATCGATCGGCCACCTCCTGCACGCCCCCCACTGGGGATCGAGCCTGCAACCCAGGCATGTGTCCTGACAGGGAATCGAACTGGCGACCTCTTGGTGCAGGGACAACGCTCAATCCACTGAGCCACACCGAACGCGCGCTGTTAGGTTTTAATTCATTTCAGTTACCGTTTTCTGGTTAGACTATCTTTCCCTGATAAAATTTAACACTGTTAGATTCAAAGACAAGCATATTAGTCTATTTTTACCAAAGGACATCAGGCCCCAGCCACATGTCCATCAACTCTGCTTGAGCAAGTCAGTTCCTTGATGTACTAGCTGAGCTTTATTTTACTTTCATTTGTTCTTTTGGTTAATCCTCACCTGAGTATTTTTTCATTGATTTGTAGATAGAGTGGAAGGGAGGGAGAAAATGAGAGAGAGAGAGAAACATCGATGTAAGAGAGACACACTGATTGGTTGCCTCCCACATGACCCTGACCAGTGTAGGGGATAGAACCTGCAATCCAGGTATGTGCCCTTGACTGGGAATTGAACCTGAGACCCTTCGCTCTGCAGGTCAACGCTCTAACCACTGAGCAACACTAGCCAGGGCACTGGGCTTTACTTTAAAATAACCCAACGAAGAGTTTACAAGCAGCAAGACACACCAATGTTATTCCTTGTTGAAGATTAGTGGGGCCGGTCCATGAATTACATTAGTAATTACATAGGTTCATTACATTAGTCTCTATTTCTGTGCATGCTTGAAAATTTCTTTTAAAAAATATCTTGTAGAAGGAGGGAGCCCTGGCCAGTCTGGCTCAACGGTAGAGTATCAGCCTGCAGACCAATGAGTCTCGGGTTCGGTTCCGGTCAAGGGCATGTGCCTCAACTGCAGTTCGTCCCCGTGCAGGAGGCAGCCAGTCGATGTGCCTCTCTCACATCGATGTTTCTCTCTCTCTTCCTCCCACTCCATCTGAACAAAAATGAAAAAATATCCTCGGGTGAGGATTAAAAATGTATTTTGCAGAAGGAAATTTCTCATCTGCGCTGACATGGGGTAGAAGAAGAGCGTCCCCTGAATTTATGCTCAAACTCTCCTCCAGGTACATGGAAGTTGCCATGGTTACTCTCATGAAGGAGGAGGCTTACAACACACAGGGTGTGTTCTCTTCTGTCTCCATTACTGTCCGGCCCGGTCCTTATCTGCAGGTCTAGTCACTTATAGAAGAGAGTGTAAATAATTGATCACTACAAAGGAAGAAGCAAGCCACGCCGCCATCTCCATCACCCGTCAGCACCAGGGAGACCACTTCCCCTGTAGACGCAGACACATAAATACATTCATGCAGACGTGAGAAGAACATACCCACAGACGAACAGACAGATCTGTTCGGGGCCCTTTGGGGATGGAGAACCCAGCATCCGCTTTCCGTGCCTCCCCAGCACGACGCCAAAGCGATGTGAGAAACCACTCGAGTGATGTTCTTCCCCCTCCTGCTAGCCTCGCCCTCACAGGCCCCCAAACATCCCTGGCGCTCTGCTAACCCACATCCTGTGGGTGCAATCGGACGTGAGCCTATGTCCGTGCGTGCGTGTGTCTCCATGTGTAGACGAAATGCTTGCAGCTACGCGTCTCAGACCGTCTTTGTTCACCGCACGCCCTCGTGGGAGGCGCGGGAAGGGTGTGAACCGGGAAGGCACCTGAGCATCCTAAGCGGACACCTGAAGGCTCCCCTCCGAGACAGGCCAGGGCGCGTGCTCAGTGGTCATCACCTGCGACACTGCGAGGCCTGCTGCCCCCTTTCTGCCAAGAGGCCAGATTCTCTGCCATCGCTGCCAAGTGGGCAGAGCCCTGTCCCAAGGCCACCCCCGACCGGGTTCCACTTACCACCAGAGAGAGAGGCCTTTTCCAGGAGACGACGCCGATGAGTCCAGACAGCAGCACCTGCGGGGACAAACGTGCAAGGAGATAAGACGCTTCAGAAACTCTAACGAACACTCGAACAGCATCGGCCGCTTCGGCCTGAAGAAGGGTCGCCCCTAGCACGCAGCGGGCGCCCCGATCTCATACCTCCACCTCCAGAACTGTGAGAGAATGAAGTCCCGCTGTGTGAGCCCCTCCCCCCCACCCCCAGTCTATGACACTTGGTTGCAGTAGGCCGAGCTGCCTAATAAATATCCGGACACACCCAGAACACAACGCTAGATCACTGCTCCCAAAGAGCCCCGTTCCCTACATCTCCCCAGACAAGCAGACTTCCCCGCCCCGCAGATGCAGAAACACCAGCCCCGCTCCAGGAGGGGGCGCCCCAGCAGAGATCTTGGGAGGGGCTTTCAGAGCCCAGATGCCGCTGGCGTCTGGGTCTGAAACCACCGGTTCCGAAACAACCAGGCCATAGTACGAACTCTCTGGCCCCCTTCCAGCCACCGGCGAGGACGAGGTGCCTGTCCCAACGTGTCAGTGTCTACAGGGGCATCTCCGACACTTGGGGCGGGAATCTAGCTAGCTGGGCAATGACCTCAGCTCCCAAAACCTTTGTCCCATTTCACTGGCCTGTACGGCAGTCAACTCCCGGGTTACAAAGGATGCGAAGAAACCGAAGAGGTCGGGGAAGAGGAACATGTAACCAAGGGGCTGTGAGAGACAAGTGAGACCCACGGGACAGGCTGACGACGCGGAGAGAGGGGCTTGGCCTGTCGAGCCCCCGCCTGCTGTTACAAGGGCCCAGCGTGCTCTCTGTTTCTACCCCCCGGTTGGCCTAAACTGAGATAAATTCTCAGGAGAGAATGAGAAAGAACCTCCTGCTGTTGAGGTTGATAGAAGTGGGTGACAGATGGCCAGGCAGTCACAGCACCTCTAGACCCGCAGGCTGCCCTTTTGGGGGGTGCTGATGGGTACAGAGGCCTGGAATATATCTCAACCTCTAAGATGAAAAAAGTCCCTTCATTGCCTAAAATCAAGGCTTTTCGGTGTGGCTCAGTGGTTGAGCGTCGACCCATGCACCAAGAGGTCGCCGGTTCGATTCCCACTCAGGGCACATGCCCAGGTTGTGGGCCTGATCCCCAGTGGGGGGTGTGCAGGAGGCAGCCAGTCGATATTCTCTCTCATCGATGTTTCTCTTTCTCTTTCTCTCTCTCTCTCTCTCACCCTCCCTCCCACTCTATCTGAACAAAAATGGAAAAATATCCTCGGGTAAGGATTAAAAAAAAAAAAGAAGAAACCAGTGTTTCTAGACACGTGTGTCTGGAGAAAGACTTGATGGTGCAAAAATGAGGCAAAGAATATGTCAGCCTCTGGGATGAGAGTCTATCCACCTGTGTCTTCTACAGTCTCTCCGGCTGCAGCCTAGGCTGCAGGGCTGAGTAAGGGGGCAGAAAAGCAGAATCCCAAGGTGGTGGGGGCGGAGGCTCACCGACAAGGTGCACGCGACCTGGTCTGCCCAGAACGGTGCCAGCCAGGGGGCCAGGGGCTGCTGCTCAGGGATGGAGAGCAATGAGGATTTAAGGCATAAATGCAAGTTTCAAAGATGAATGCCACCCAGCAAATGTGTGCAAAAGTCTCCTGCTCTCTCCTTCTCTCAACCCAGCACGGAAATATAACATGAGGTGGGCAGGTATCTCACCCCGGCTGGGAAACAATGTTACGTACACACTGGCAAAGCATTTCGATTCTCTTCTTTTAGAAGTCTCCTCTTTGAGCACTGAAAACAATGTATTTGTTGATCCAGTACATTAATTCTATTAAAATCGCATTAAGTGTAATGAAAAGCTTTCAGAGTATAATGATGCCCGAAGTCACAGACCCACATCAACTTTTAAACCCACTGGAATGACAATCGGAAGCGAACCTGTCTGGTCGACAAATCGCTCCTTCGTTTCCAAATGATTATGGATGAAGGCCCCCTGGACGCATGCTGCAAACTGCACACTATTAACACAGACTCCAAAGTCCACTCCTTACAGGGCCTGTGCCAGGATGTCCCTAGTCAGCCTGGACTCGGGGTCAGACCCCTCACGGTGGCCCTGGGTCCTGACTCTTCTGAGTTCATCTCCCCAAAGCACATTCCATTCTTGGAATTCCTGCCCTGAAGGTCCTCTCAAGTCCCCAACACTCACCGTCGCCCCTTGGAGCGCCCTCTGCAGTCCAGACCTGGCCACTGCGGGACCCGCAGGCTGCCTGACTCCCTCCCTGGGCCCTCGCAGCCCCCAGGTGCCGCTCTCCTGCCCTCAGACTAGCCCTGGCCCTCCACGGGCCTCATGGAAACCTGCTGGCTGCCTCCACATGGCCCAAGGTGTACCCACACCCCCGAGCCAACCGGGACCGGTCAGAGGCCTGCCATTCTCACAAGTGTGCTTGTCAGAAATCTGGTCCCCACCTCACCCTCTGTGACCCCACACTCTCAAATCCATCCAGGGCAGGTGCAGCCTACTGTCCAACTCACACTGGATCTCGTCCCTTGCTCCTCCCTCCACCCCTACCTGCCACCTGCCACCTGTCCCTTGTCACCTGAACAGCCCTGGAACAGGTCTCCCCGCTCCCATGCTCCCATTCCTGGCCACACCTCTACCCTGAATCATCCCGTTAAAATGCAAAATGTAAATCTGACCAGTCTTTCCCCCGAGGGACTCTTCCCTCTAGCGGCCTTCTTCTGCCCTTGGGGGTAAGTCCCAGATCTTCAGGCTGAGAGAGTACCTGCCCACCTGCCCTGCCTTATCCAAGCCCCTCCACTATGGTGCGTCCCCTCTGCCTCCCCCTCCTCTGCACAGCTAATCTCCCAGAAGTCCGCCCTCTGGAACGAGCTCCGTGGCTCGGCTCTCAGCGCCCACTCCTGCCTCCTTGTTCATGCAGGTGGTCCTGAGCCACCGTGGGCACATGACGCCAGCGTGCGGCTGCACAGCCTAGGACGGCACCCTGTCCGCACGCATGCCCAGTTCTGCAGCCACGCCCAGTTCTGCAGCCACGCCCAGTTCTGCAGCCACACCCAGTTCTGCAGCCACGCCCAGGCAGCCCAGCCAGAGAGGTGGTGTCCTGACTCTGTCCCTTTGTGACGAAAGCAACGCACCTTCAATAAATACAAAATCAGGAAAGTCAGAGAGGCAAAAGGAAGAAAATGAAAACCTCTATCTCTCGCCATTTCTCTGACGACTATTATAGGCTGGACAGCTTTGGATTCCGTTTAAATAGACTTTTGTAAAAATTGGGTCATAGTGTTGCCCATAATCTTTCGACCTTACAATATAATGTAGTGTGATCACAACATCATACCCGGTAAGTATTCATTTACATCACTTCAGGGGCTGAATGGTATTCCATTTGTGAAAATACCATCATTTACTGAAACTGTTAGCCTACAAACATTTGAAATCATGAACATTACGAGTAAAATATTTTTGAACAAGCTGATCAATATATGAATCCTTATTTAACTTTTCTCATTTAAGTGATTCTTTTACACGATTTGACAAGCCAAACTGTTCCCTAGAGAGACTGCCAATTACAATTGTTTAAGTTGTTTCTTCTAGTATTTACTTTCAAACTCAACTTGATGTTTTGACGGGCTTCTCACAGGAGGAGAGAGAGAGAGAAAGAAAAACATTGATATGAGAGACACATCGATCGGGTGCCTCCCGCACAACCCCGACCAAGGGCCGGGATTGAGCCTGCAACAGAGGTATGTGCCCTGGACTGGGACTCAAACCTGAGACTCTTTGGTCCTCAGGTGGAGGCTCTAAGCCTTGAGCCAAAACGGCCCAGGTACAGCAGGTAAACTTTTGAGACTCTGCATGTCTGACATATAGAAAGAGAATTTCTAGGTTGCAAATGATTTCCCCTGGTACCTTATTTACTCATCTAGTCATTATAGCGCCCCCTTTTTTAGTATGTTTTTTTATTGATTTTTTTTTTTGAGAGAGAGAGAGAGAGAAACATCGATGAAAGAGAACACTGATTGGCCGCCTCCTGCATGCCCTCCACTGGGGATTGGGCCCACAACCTGGGCATGTGCCCTGACCGGGAATCAAACCGGTGACCTCTTGGTGCATGGTCAATGCCCAACCACTGAGCCACACCAACAGGGCTGTAGCCCCTTCTTGATTCGTTCAATATAGGTTGACGTTCATACTCTGAGGTTAATTCAGCGTTTCTCAAAGGCATTTATCTGGGGTAGCAGATTATTTTTCTAATGATACCTCTCTGCTACCCTGCTGTGTGCTTCTCTGGATTTTTTTATTTAAATCCTTACACAAGAAGCTCCAGTTTCCAAAATATATTGTGACCAGGGTTCACCAATCACGAAGCCCACGTGCAGTTCTTGGCTCACAAACCATCTCGTCTCCTCTTCTACCAGATTCTATCACAGCTTTTAAAACTTCGCCCACCCCAGCCAGTGTGGCTCAGTGGTTGAGCGTCGACCCTGCACCAAGAGGTTGCCGGTTTGATTCCCTGTCAGGGCACATGCCCAGGTTGTGGGTCCGATCCCCAGTGGGGGGCATGCAGGAGGCGACCAGTCGATGTTCTCTCTCATCGATGTTTCTATCTCTCTCTCTCCCCCCCTTCCTCTCTCTCTAAAATCAATAAAGAAATAAAGAAAAACTCTGCCTACACTTCCTACAGCGGTGATGGCTCAGGGAATCGTAGAAGGGGGTGCAGAGCACTAGGTTAGCTCCACAGAGGAGAACCCGAGACAGCGCTCACCATACACTTGCACAAGGATCTCATTGAGCATCAGCTGAGGGGCACACTGTCTCCCCTTCCTACAGACAAAGAAACTGAATCTTCAAGATGTGAAATCCCTGGTCAAGGAAACACAGCTTCTTGTTTTTAATCCTCTCCTGAGGTTTTTTTTTTGTTGTTGTTTTTTTTTCATTTATCTTCAGATAGAGTAGGAGGGAGGGAGGGAGAGAGAGAAACATTGATGTGAGAGAGACACAGTGACTGGTTGCCTC